TTAGTCATTTCAATTTCTTACATAGGCAAGAAACAGCCATGCCATGTTGCTCAGTGGATGACATATTGATTATGGCATGTTGATATTGATATAGGCATGCTGCCGAAAAATGAACGTATCTATTCCTCCATTCTCCTATTTTTTACGAGGAATGTTGCTGCTACTAGTCTTATCGATGACCTATTGAGTTTTCCATAATGCACTACAAATAAAGATGACCCGGTGTATCGATTGGTTCGTCCCCACCTAAGAGACAAGAAAGCAGAAAGATCCCTGTTAAGAAAAAAATGGGGACTGTTAACTGTCTTTTTACAGAGACCACGAAAGATGGTGCAGATGATTGCATCAAGGCATGTCTGGGCCGAGCCAGGCGGGAGCTATAGTGCTCTGAGCCTTCCTCCCACCTGGGCGACCAACTGAACGTGCTTTCGGTGCAGCTGCGTAGTCAAGAGGAAGATTCTGGGGCCTTGTCCCCTCCCCGCTCCGGGAAGTGCCGTGACCCCTATGGGGTCGAGAGCCCCATTGCTTTTGCCAGTTTAACCGATTCGCTGTAGATTTAGTCTTCTCAGTCGCTCAAGATGCCAAGCGTTGGCTGTTGGAGTATGTCGTTTTTAGTCGCTCGGTCAGTACAGAGGAGCGCCCCTGGGGAGGGAGTGGGGCTCACCCGATCTGAAGCACGGATTAGGATCGTTGGTCCGGCCGGTGGTGGCGGTGAGTGAATGAGCATAGATTCCCAGAATGGGGGAAGGCATGTGAATGGGACCATTTGCGTAGCCGGAATTTCACTATTTCCATCGCGTAGTAAGTTTAGCATATGTCATGACATGTTCAGCCTTATCGCATCAAGAGCTACAAGTTGATTGGCGCCATTACACAAATATTTCAAGACATTCAGCTTTTACAACGCGCTTCAATATTTATAGGTCTAATTGGCCAGTTATATATGCATCAAACATGCTTACTGCAAACGAAGGCCAAAAAGCGGTATTGTTATCCATTGAGTGGTGACATCACATACCTGCTTATTTTGAAGTATTTGCGTACGAATGAACACCGGAATGTTCACAGCTGGTAGACATAGAATTTTTTGCATGCGATGCCGCGTGTTGTAAGATTTTGCGGGATGTAAAATTTGCGATTGAATTATATTTTTCGGAACATGTTCTGCTGCATGTCAATGTGAAAACGGCTTTAAGTGACGCATTAGCTAATCGCATCTGCAGAAACAGCCGCGTGGAGAAGAATAGTAAATAATAACGTATTAAACAGCACAGTCCGGAGAAAAGGATTATCATAGATTATGCGGCGACGATTTGGCCATGGTGGCTTTCCTTTCCCATCCCTTCGCCACAATTATGTAAAGGCGCCAAACGATGTTGCAAGGAGACTTTAGACAACCATCTTTCCTAATGGAACACCAAAAAGACAGCAGTTGCTTATTCCAAATGTGTCTGGATGGCTCGTGAATACGACAAATTAAGACCGTACCACAAATTCAAGGAAAGCTTTCGTTTCGCGGTGGTGATCGATGAAAGATGTTTTCACCCGTTCACTTGGCGATCATTTTTAAACGTGAGGGCTTCAGCGGCGTCTGCAGAGAAGCCTTTGCTGATGAATGACTTCTGTAGCCAGTTTGCTGTTTCCAGCCAGTAGCCAGTTTCTTCTGGTTGCCACTAATGTTGAGCGTTTGGCTCTAAATCTAACATACTGCACCGGCATCCTTTTCGAGCGGCAAACAGATTTCAAGTGGCAAACACATCAAGCTATGGTTCAGGTGTGGTAAAAATGCATTTTGTGTCGATGATGGCAATGATGCCGTGCCCAGCAGCGTAATTAGAAATCGGCGTACCGCCGAAAGCCTCTTTTATCATTTTAACTTGCGATGACATGCACACTATCGAAACGTCTATTTATACAATGTCACTCAACTAATGTCAGGATAATTGCTGCTGCGAAGAATGCAAGCACACGGGCCGTAGACCATGGAAAGTCCAATCATAATAGCAGCCTTCCTCCACCCCCGGAACTTGCCATGGCCTGAAGTCTACGTTTGATCTACGGCTGCATTTGCTATCCTCGATCACGAAGAAAAAATCGTGAAGGTCCTCGACTGCCAGGGCAGCTGAGTATATGGCCGAATTACGATCGATGGCAGGCAGCACTGGGGATGTCTAACATGTGGGCCTTCTCTGAGTCATGTCCCCTTATGGAAATTACGTTTGCGCTTCGAATCCCACCCCAACCATTATCATTCTCTCCACCATACCTTAGGCATGCACTAATCCTGGCGTGACATGTGTTGGCTGGTGGGGGCCTTTCGCTGCGCCCCAGTAATTGGTGGATGCAGGCTTAAACTGGGGTCTAGGCTGCCTGGAAAGGACGAAACAATATATTGGGTTCCGGGTTAGCTGAGATTGAGGTAAAGGCGACTGCACGCCCTCACTGCCTCTGCTGGGCAAGAGGGAGTGGGGGCGTGCTGAAAGAAGGATAAAGCGGGATCGTGGAAAGATGGGATCATAGAACTGTTTGAAGAAAAGAAAGACCAGTTGTTTGACATTCTTGTCGTGCTGAGCAAAACAAAATTAAAACAGCAAAAAAACGACTAGTTATAGATGCAGCCCAACTTCAAAAGACTGTTACATGCTTTGACGACCCGAAGGTACCAGAAATTCCAGGCTCAAGTTTAATGATTTATCGCCGCTTGAACAGTGACATGACGTGTGTCTCCATCAACATGACATATACCAATTTTTGCTGATTATAACCGTCTCTGCTACCCTTTCCATACGGAAGCTCAACAGTTCGTTCGTTGACTTGGACGCAACGAAGGTGCAAAATTGTTGCTTTTGCTGAGCTTATGCGTCTGTCCTTATCCGAGCCACCGCAGTCTAAAGATGCCTTTTTCAGTCTCACGCAGATTTATTCGTATATAACTTCGTAACTGGACATTGGCTACACTTCAATATGCTTTCCAAGCGGAAGGTGTCCGAAGGTTTTACTTAGTGGGTGGTTATCAGCAGCTCCGTTTTTGATAGCAAAATCAAATTCAAGACGTGGAAAAGAAAATTTGATCGCCAATGTTGATCTTCGACCTTTTTAAGGGGATTCATAGCAAGACTCTGTCTGATTACACTTGGATTGTACTGGCCGATCCAGAACCCCCGGCTTTTGGCACACTTTCATGCAGGCGGGGACTTCTTAACGGTGTCACGTATTATACTGAACTGCTTTGGAAAGAAGCTGAGGCTCTCTGCGGGAATCAGGTGGCCTTTGAAAGGGAAAATAGGCCCTGTGCAGCTAAAAGGTTCACGAGTATCCAGAGGAACATGCGAAAACAAATGGGCATTGAACTCATAAGGTTCTGAGCGGACCGTGCGCCCTGAGAACTCAGATATCACCTCAGCAGTCAGAGGGCTCTTCAGTGGCCCGAGGACGGTCCCTCAGTACCCTAACAAGTCCTCGAGCACTTATCGCCCCCCCCCCCCTCCCCCTCCCCTAGGAAGTAGGCGTCCAAAAGGGTCGTCTAGCCATAGATATGTTTTGGCAACCAAATAGCTCGTTGAGGGACCAGTGGGCCATCGGCAACCAAACGAACACTTCGATGGCCAGCAGGGCTCACAAACGATCAAAAGTTCCCCTTCGTGACCGGGGGATCTGGGCGACCAGTCAGAAAGGGACCCCAACCCCGAGGGCCCCTCAGTAGCCAGAGGGACTCCTCAGCGGTCAGAAAGGCACCGCTCAGGTAAAGCGGCGCGTGAGCGACCACGGGAGCGCAGAGTACACAGAAGGTTGAGAGGTCGGTATGGCTTGTGCACGGTTGTTGCCATTGGGCTTTACGTCGCACGGAGCTCCTGAGGCTATATGGCGTCACTTTGTCACAGGATGTCCCCCTAGCAGAAAGGGCAGGCACTGAGGAGAATCGAGCCCTGCACCTCTGGCTCCCTCGGCGCGCAGCTCAACCATCGCACTAAAGCGGTCCAAAAGAGCCTGGGTGGTGCCGCTTGTTTTGTGTGCAGAAGGGACTAGACGGCAGATGGGTCCTGAGTAGCTTTTAAGCCTCTGCAACGGCCCGAGTGCCCACAGTGGCCAGTTGGCGCCCACTTATTCGTAACAGGGGCCTCTGGTGGCCAACTGGGACCCAGTGGGAAGGCAGAGGATGGGCTTTACTCATTCAGCGCAGATATTTGTCCTCACGCTGCGCATAACAGGGACGTTATGTTCGCATAATGAGCATGACGTCCCTGGTTATGTTTGTTATGCGCATAACGAACGCATAGTTACGTTCGTTATGCGTATGACGAACGCATGTATGAGCTAAGCTAAATAGTGAGCTGAGCTAAAGGTGAAAAACGGGCCGAGCTATCTTTTTTATTATCAAAAAATAATTATAAAAAGTTCCTTTAAATAATAAGGGCGGGGGGGGGTGGGGGAGCGGGGTTGTCGGTGTATAGAGCGGTAAAGAGGGTTCCCTTAGCTGAAACGGCCCCTATGACCGGATTTTACCCCCTCCTGGGCGCAATCCTGGCTGCGTCACTGTATTGGTATGTTCGAAGACCACATGAAAGCTAGGACTTTTGGGTAAAACAGACCCATGTTTTGACTTATGCCACTTTTTTCCATTTGGTTTTTATGGCTTCTATTTTTTACACTTTACTCTTGTTATTTTACTTTTAATCGATGTACTCGATCTTTGCAGTATGGCTCTTTCGAGTTTTTGGCCTTTTTGCCTTGTGTTCATTTTACTTTTATTACTTTTGACCTTTTGCCGGTTTCTCTACTCCATTCGACTTCTCGTGCTTTTAACTTTTTATCACTTAACTTTTAGTCTTTTGACTTCTTTTCCTGGCCCCGGCGCATCGAGCTGACGGCCGTGAATGGCGCTGAGGCTGTCGGGCGGCGCGTGATGGCCACCGGCGACGGGGGGGCCGCCGCGCCGCTATATCAGAAGCGCGCCGCTCGCGCGCCGGCAGTGCTGTTTTCGGCGGGCGGTGCGAGTCTCTGGTGCGCAGTGGTGTGTCTGAGTCGGACCGCGGCCGGCCCACAGAGGCGGTAAGGCGGCGGTGGCGAGCCAGCGCTGCGCGACTCGGGGCACGCCGGACCTGTCTGCGCTGCCGGCGATCCGTCGGCCCGGGCGCCGAGGCTCATCCTCGCCGCCTCTGGACAGTGGCTGGAGTCGCTCCCTCTTGCTGGGCTGACATGCACAGGGGCGTTTGAGCGCCAAGTTATCGCTAGTGCCAATTAGAGTCAGTTGGAACAGATAGCAGGAGCAATGACAGTATTGTCATGGCCAATGCTGGCGATGCAATTTTGGTTCACTTATTTGATACATGGCGACAGCAATATGCACAGAATTGTCTCGAAACGCAGCATTTGCTGCATTCCCTTTTCACTGCATCATTACATTTTGCCGAAACTGGGCCCCACATCCGGCACTCATTACAGTAACGTTACATCTGAAATACTGTTGAAAGCAGGCTTAGCATACATTCAGACGGGCTTGATGGTATCTGACTGCGAGCAGATGCATTGCTAGGCGCCCCTTGATCCGGTCATCATCTCCGCATGTCTCGCCTGTCTTCCTGGTCCGGTAGCGCATGCTCTCCCCCGCCAAACGGCAGCCGGACAATGGACGTGGGAATCCCATGAAACCTCCTGTGATGTGCTGTGCTTTGCACGTTACTGCACCAACGCTGGCAAGACACACGCGCTTGCCGTAGTCCACTCGATTTCCAGCGTCGCATTGCCTGCCTCAGACTTAATGGCAAGCTCACGAACTTATATGTCGCGGTCCGTGGAGGATGACGACGGGGGTGCATAGACCCCTGCCCTCCCACACCAAATGGAGGTCCTGTGTATCCGGGAAAAGCTTAAAACGAGAGCTATTTTCACATTATCATTACAACGTGCCGCGATATAGCAGCAAGAAGCCGAAATAACAGATGGGGCATGATAATAGTGCGTAGCTGCTGACCCGAAAGCAACTGGAGGGCACCAGTAACCAGTCGGCTTACCCTGAAGGTCGGACATCATCCATCCGAAAATCCATTGTACGCGCCTCGCTGCAATACACGTTTCCATCTGATCGGTTGGCGGATCTCAGGCGCGATTGCGGACGCGGTCCTAGAGTATTACAAGATATTGCCAGACATCTAGTCGTTGCCTAGACGAAGTTGTGACAGTTTGTGACGCCGGCGCCGCCGGCCACTTCCTGGTTGCGAGATTGCCACGTTTCCATTGTCACGACAAGGACCACCGGGGTGAAAAGCGACTCGTCTGTTACGGTAAACATTCCGTCGTACTTCCCAGGAGTCCTGAGACTGGTCGGCGCTCGGTCCGGGCGCCGGGCCGAGCGCCGATTAATGCGCACGCCGCAGCGCGAGCCGGGCCGAGGGCCATCTGTCTTCCACACCCACGCGGCGCTGGACAGGGCGCCGTTCCAGCGCTGGCCAGTGCGTGACACCTTTATGCAACTCTCCGACGGGCGGGCATTGGCCGCACCGGTCGACCTCGGGCGACGGTGTTCCTCGCCGGAGTTGTGCCACTCCGAAGCGGGCGTCTGGCGCACTGGCGCCTCGCCGCCCCGGTCAGACGGAGCCCGGACATCGCACACATCGCACCGTGCGATTGCATGACGTCGCACCGTTCGGTCGCATGGCATCGCGCCGCACGGTCGCATAACATAGCATATGCTCACCCGGACGCGGCGTAGTGTCCAACACTAACACCAGACGATGGAACATGACCAAGCCTTGAAAGGAACGTTCCTGGCGTGGGATTTATCGCGTTTTAGGGGTTTATCAGTGCGAGACTCTGGGGAGACCTCGTGATCCCCTCGTAGCCGCTTTTGTTATGCGGGATGGGACGGCATGATGCCTGAGCTAAGACCGGTAAGAAGATTTTGGCAGTGGCACAAGGCCGCAAGCGTGCGAGGTGGACCGGGGTTGATGATATTAATTTGCTTTCAAAAGAAATTAGATGTCATTTTCTCCATTCACCGATGAGCTCACCGCATTTTCATTGCTTGCGGACATATCAGGTTTTCACTGGGTTAATAATCTGGCTGGGTAGGAAACGTTGTGTTGTTATCTTCATTTCAGTCACACTGCATTAAGACATTGACGGCGGCGATCGCCTGTTATCATTATTATGGATATGGAAATACTATAGAGCTGAGATATCTTGAACTACGTTAGGCGCACGCATTTCATAAGATAAGAGATTCACTGTCGTACATTGAATACGAGCGCATTTTCTTCTGTGGCATCTAGGCCACAGGCCACAAGCCACAGGCAGTCAGACCACAGGTCAGGACAATGTCATCCTCATAAAGTCATATGTCACATGAAAATGCCAAAGCCAAAGCCATCCTGGCAACCGCCCAGTCGCTGTGTTTATGATGGTGGCCATACTGACCCTGACCGAAGGGTACTCCGGCCAGGAGCACGCCAAGTGCGCACTATTTAACAGTAAACAGTGATCCCCGTTTGATCTTACTCTACGGAACACAAGACTAAACACTGACAGACCGGACGGGGTGGTTGACGTCCGTGTTAAAATCCCGGTTTGTCGCGGTCGGCTCACTCCTTGTGCTCCTCGAAGCACACGCTGAGGAGCTCTATCACTTGGCAGTCCATTGAGTATCGAAGCTGATTCCGGTGAGAAGCATAAAGAACTTGTCCAAAACGACGAAATATAACTTCTTAATTTTCCTTTGGAACAGCATTTCTGGTATTTTTCGGTGGAATAATAAGGAACGGTGTTTTACACCACATGAAACCGTCGCGTAGTGCACGTGCATAAATTTGCCTGTTTTGCACCGCGTATTAGACATTATGGATAACATATTTCTAACCGTTCTCGCCCTCTTCCTGCATGGTCAAACCGATGTCCACGCGATAATCATAATATGTAGGGCTTACCCGTCCCTTTACCCGCCAGGTTGCTATCTCATGATGTCTGAATACAGGAGCAATGAATGACTCAGGAGAATGTCACCAATGGTGAATATACGCATTTGACTGTTTTCACTTTCTTACTACGCGCTCGGGTGGGGATCAATTTACCCCCCCCCCCCCTCTCGAAGGCTTTTCTGGAATAGTTTCCGAACGGCGCGGCCAAATCTTTCATGCTGTAGACGATTGAATGGCGGGTTGTTAGTATAAAAAATTTAGAGGCAAAGTCACCAATCTTCGGCAGGTCAAAGTTAGGCCATGGATTCAGTGAAGTCAATTTCTAAAGAATCGCTCAATCTGATGCAACAGCGGAATGTTAGGCGATGTCATACATCTCTGAGATCCTGTCTTAGGCAGCACACCATTTGAATGACCAAAAACCATTAACCTAGGATCAGGTATGAAGGTCAGACCAAAATCAAAACAAACTTGTTTTAGTATTGTAAGGCTTGATGTGTGGGGTAGTTTCTGCTGCTCATTTTGAACTTATTGATGACAGGAACCGCATTATGCACCTTCCATTGACTTTTCAAAGGTCAGAATAGGAGCGTACTACCCAGTATTATCTTTGTCGTTTATTCAATTACAAAACTCAAAGCAGTAATGTATGATTTTATCCACCATGACCTTCGAAAGCTACCGACCCTAAATGAGCATGTGGTCTTTTGCTAGCAACAGGTGTCTAGGCTCTTGAGGCACTTTGGTGACGAACCTAGAGTTTGACCTTGTTTGACATTATTTGACACAAGTTCATGACCCAGAACCCTCAAATCGTGACCTAAGTGAGTTCACGTACAGGTAAATACACCCTCTGGATTTGGTGTCTCTAGATCTCTTAGTTTCTGAGCTGTCAAGGGACCAAATTGACCCCCACCCGAGCGAAGGGTATCCAATAGGCCACCCGAGCGCGTGTGAAGACGTCCTACATGTCAACAAGAGAAAGTGAGCACCAGGGACCGCCCATAAACTGCCCAATTGAACATGCGGTTCTACAAACATGAAATGAAACATGGCGTTTCGGCCACTGGTCGTCACCTTGATCGTGCAGCAGCAAATGTATTAGTTCAATGCATCACTGAGATGGATGTAAATGACTGAAGGGCATAACCTTCAAGTGTCTTCATGGCCTAAGTTTGCTGAAGTTTGCATTTCCAAGTCTGCTGAACTGTCAGTTTTTTAGTTGGTCAAATACAAATTGGTGAGCCATAGCATTGTTCTAATGTATTTGTTGTCTCCATTTCCGTAAGCGCCGATTGTGTGTGAGGGCTCATCTGCCTTCAATTTACAAACCTGACTAAATTTATTTTCAGGACTGCAAACTGGCAACAACAGCTATCGGCATTGGTTCAACAACTGCTTCGCATCCAGTCATCTTATGTGAAGGGCATTGCCGCCTTTGAGAACGGCTGTCAGCATCTGCGTCATCACTCGAGCTGGGATAAGCTCTGAATCGACCTACAACTGGGAAGGCATGGAGGCCCCCACAGTGATCTGCTGTGGGCCGATCCCGTGACGAAGACAGCTCCACTTGACTGTACTAACAGCATCACTGTACTGTGCTGACAGAACCACAGTACTGACAGCACCACTGTACTGTCTACAGTGCGCAGCGACGGTATCAAAGTGACATAGACAGGATTTGCAGTGAGCAGCAGCATCCTGGCTGTGGCGACCATGGAGGTGGCCGGCGTGTATCTCTCACCGTTCGCGGTTTCATGCTTAAAAGGAACCATCCTTGCGACCGCGGTCATTGTCGCATTCCACTTGAAGTTCGGCAAGAACCCGGTGCTGGCGAAAATGCCACACAAAATGCACCCTCTCATCGGCAATCTCCTTGACATGCCGACATCGCTGACGACCATCATCCCAACCATGCGGCTTTGGTGCGAAGCGTTTCCAGGCATCTGCTACGGGTACGTTCTTTGCTTCCACTACGTGATCATCTCGTCGGCCGAATACGTGGAGCCCGTAATGACCAGCAAGAAGTTCCTTAATAAAGGGCTCGATTACGATTCGCTTCGGCCGTGGTTCGGTGAAGGACTGCTCACAAGCACAGGCGAGCATTGGTACAAACACCGTAAGCTGCTGACACCCACCTTCCACTTCTCCATCCTGGACCAGTTCCTGCCCATCTTCAACCACCACAGCCAGGCGCTCGTGCGTGCGCTGCAGGAGCGCACGCGCGGCGTGGGTCACGTCGACGTGTGGCCGCTGGTCGCCAACGCCACGCTGGACGCCATCTGCCAGACGGCGATGGGCGTCGAGATCGGCGCGCAGGACGGCGTCGAGTCCGCCTACCGCAACGCTGTCAAGGAGATGGGCAACATCGTGCAAGAGCTCTCCATCCGGCCGTGGCTGCGTAACCAGACGCTCTTCAAGCTGTTCGGAATGAAGGGGCACCAGGATCGCACCCTGGCCGTCCTCCACAACTTTTCGCGCACCGTGATTGAAAAGCGGCGTCGCGAGCTGCACGAGGAGGGCCGCCTGCTGGACGGTAGCTTCACCATCGAGGACATGCCGCTGACGAAGCGGCGCCTCGCCTTCCTCGACCTACTCATCATGATGTCCGAGAACGGCGAGGTGTTCAGTGACGAGGACATCCGGGAGGAGGTCGACACGTTCATGTTTGAGGGCCACGACACTACCACGTCGTGCATCAACTGGGCACTGTATAACATCGCGCGCTCGCCAGACGTACAGCGGCGCATTGAGCGCGAGCTGGACGACGTCTTCGGCGGCGACGACCGCGCGCCGACCCGCGAAGATATAGGTAGCCTGAAGTACCTCGAATGCGCCATCAAGGAGTCGATGCGGCTTTTCCCACCAGTAACTTTATTCAGTCGTCGGGTGTACGAGACGGCACAGATCCGCGAGTACGAAGTCCCCAGCGGTATTGACATCCTCATCTTCCCGTACATGATCCACCGAGACCCAAACCACTGGCCCGACCCAGATAAGTTCGACCCGGACCGCTTCAGCCCGGAGGCTACCAAAGGCCGACACCCGTACAGCTATGTGCCGTTTTCGGCGGGTCTCCGCAACTGCATCGGCCAGCGATTCGCGCTGCTCGAGGTGAAGGTGATGGTGGCAGCCATTCTGCGGAGGTTCTGGGTCGAGACGGACGAGAAGTACGAGGACCTCGTCGTTCAGATGAGTCTCACTATCCAGAAGCACGGACCACTGGATCTGCGGTTCACCCCACGAACTCGGACATCGGAGCTAATGCGGTCTGGCTGAGTCATCACCTGGGTGGGAGGGAGCTCGAAGAGGGGGGGGGGGGGG